TGTAGGATTTATAAAAAACAAGACAATAACTGGTATGCTTTCAATCAGTTTTAAAAATAATTTTGCACATGAACTAGTATCTTTCGCGTTTTTAATATTCGCTGTTTGTTGCATCCAACATCTTCGATCGATTTACATTCTTTTAATATATATTTTTACCACATTAAAATATAATTGTCTTTGGAGATTACGTTTTAAGTCCTAAATTCCACTAGATCAGTATTTTTCACTTGCTATGTTGAACTAGCCTACATTTGACATGTTTATCATAACAAGATGATTATAAAGTAGTTAATTCCAGATACTTGGAATGATGTGTTTGATGTTAAATATACTCCAAAATGCAACTATTATCCACTAATTCTGAATGAGAAACTAATCGAAGCTACCGAATAAAATACAACTTATTGAATACTGAGAATATTGTAAATCAACTCAATCATTGATTGTCCTTGTATTTTATTATTACAAACAAGTTTTGTAATTGTTTTCTTTATGTGTATATAAAACTATTATTATTATTATTATTATTATTATTATTATTATTATTATTATTATTATTATTATTATTATTATTATTATTATTGTTTACCAATTTGATTTAGTTTTGTTCAAAAGAATATAGAATTTTTATTCTGATGAATTTATTATAATGTTGTTCTGTTGCATTTACTCACACTGATATTTGAATGCGTCCTTTTGTCTTCATTTATCTGTATGTGTATTTATTTATTCGCTGTTTGTATATTTCTTTCTATCCAAATAGGATGGATGAGTCATTCAATTTTGCGAGTAGATTCTTTTTTTTCTTTCGTTTCATGGTGTTGTTATTTCTAGTCTTATTATGGGTAAGGCTTATGGTATGTTGCTGAGGTTCACTAAATGTATAATAGTCTAAAGATGAGCTTAAGACAACCGCGATAAATTTTCAGTCAGTCCTTAGCCAATCGGCTTTTGCAAATAGATTGTTTATGAAGAAGAAAACAATAATATGACAAATTTGAAACAGATTTTACGTAATTAATGATCCTTTTAAAGTCTTCTTCAGGTTGTTCTATCTGTGAGTATAAAAACAACAATATTTGAGTCCATCAATATTGATATACATAATCTGTCTTTTTGAGCACTTATAAGAATTCAAATAAATTTTTAAGGTTTCTTTCATTGGTCTTGGTTTCAGTATGAGATTTAGGGTTAGGGTTTTCAACACTAACTGACATCATTCATAACGTAAATTACTGTTTAACTATATGGATGAGTTAACTTCGCGCGAAAATCGAAGAGTAACTGTATGATTAAATCGTCCATAAAAATTTAATGCTGATCGGTTAAGAACTTTTTAGGATTAAGTGTTTATGGTTAGCAGCATACAACGTATAGTGAAAAAACTGAGCATTTTACACGTTCAATATTTTTATTTTTTCTCCATGGTGGCAACAAATAGTTTCTAATTATCATTTTAAACGTCTTGATAAAGATATTTTTATCGCTCATTATACGTAGTTTTCAAATTTTCGTCAAAATCCTAAAAGTCACACTCTTGATTCTGACTTGCTTGTGTGCACTTTATTAATTCTTAAAATTACCACAATTGAGTTCTTTTGTTAAGTAATGAAAAACTATTTATTTAAACAAAAATTATTATTACAATAAGTAAATGGGTTTTACATAGTTACTGAATCTAATCATATCTACCACATGTCTGTCTTAAAGTCGAAAAAACAGACAAAAATACGTCTATATGGCTATAAAACATGCGGCTTATCGAACCTTTATAAACACGTATATAGTTTATAGGTAATCTTCATGTCGTTCCTCGCCTAAGGCTAGTGTTGTGGCTGACTTTCGTTTTATAGCAAATCTAATTGAAAGTGTTGTGTGTACTATTGATATCGACAGGTATAAGTAGTATGTATCACCAATCGCAAGTGAAACGGCTGGCAGCAGAAGGTTGAGAAGAATGAAGAAAGGAAAACAAGAACAGGGAATGATTGTTGTGGAAGCGAAGAAACAATGAAGTCTGAGACGATTGATTGGAATTTTTCAGGTGAAGAATTTATTGTATGGATCTCAGATTTTACTAAGACGTTCTGTAATTTTGTGTTTAAATACATTTGGTAGTCCCGACTGTTGTTCTCGTTCACTACAGAAGGAACTCAGCATTCGAAACGTTGCACACTATCATTTGTAACTCAATTATATATTTTTGTTGATGTTTTGTGTAGTCTAGTTTGATATAAATCCATGTGGAAACGATTAAAATATGTATTTTATACACAAAGTTTTATGAACATACACACTTACGTTTCAGCCACACATTTTAAATCAAAACTAGTGAGACATTTATTTTGCATCCTAAACTACCACTCCCTTGAAATATACTTGCTGATGTAGGGGAGTAGGCTGAAAGAAAGCTATGTACGTCCAACCTAAGGTATGACATCGTTGACTGTTAGATTGAATTGTGTGACCGCGTGAAAACTAACTGATTTGAGTCCACGCCATTATCGTAACAAATGGCTGGAAATGCAGGATAGCATGACTCAGAATAGGTCGCGATGGAAAAATTCATCCGCTTTTCCTATAGCCTTCGATATTATTTAAAAAATATTGTACCCCACAAATTCATTTTCCTTCTTGAGATATCAATTTTTCTTTTCCTGGTGTATCCTACTATCACTTGTTTGATTATTATTTCTACTGCTCTAGAATTAATATTTACGGTTTCACTTTGCTAATGCAGTGTGAAAACGTGAACCGGTACATGTATTTATTAGTATCCACTTTGCCCATAACTAACTCATTTAGTAATAACAGACGAAATTCACTTGCTTTCTTTTTTCGGTTGAGGCCACTAACCGACCTAAGTTGAACTGTTTAGACAACAGGTTTATCGATATCTAGAAAATATCCGCCAATCAGATTCTTAGTTATATTTTGTCTATCCCCCATGTATTTTATTTCGGCTATCGCCTAGTGTCTCAAGGTTTGATCGATTGTGGCCTTAGACGACTGACAAGGTTGACCGTGGGTTAAGCTGAAATAACCTTAGCTCCAACTAGTCTATTTATTCGACCATCGCTTTCTATACCCAGTTTTGATTCTTTATAGGAGAATACAGACAAGCGTTTATTACTTCATCTTAGGCATCTCAAATATATATTAATCCACAAAATGGTTCCAAACGTCACAACATTCCTAGTATTCTCTTTGTCACAACACAGATAACCACTGGCAACTAGGTAGCACTGGACAACCGTTTCTTCCTAATATGGAACTTTTCTTCACTCCCAAAAAACTTTACTTGCATAATTATCAGTGATATTGACTGTAGAATGTTTGTACCGTTCTCAAATGACGATATATTTATCCAAACTTGAAATATATTGTGTCTGTATGATACCTAGTTACCTGTTTTTCGGTCGAATTCTGTCCAAGAAAATGTCAGTTCGTCCATATCATTAATTGTAAATGCGCCAACCCCTCATATATGTAATTTTTCACGTAGTCAGTGGGGGTACTTGAATGCATGTATACTCTGTAAAATCTTTAGTAAACAATATCAGCAGGTCAGATGCGTATTTGGTAAGTTTAGCATTCTGATTGATTGCTTACATAGTATTCCAGGTAAAACATCGAAGTGCATACAACGCTTACTACTACAATTTATAAATCTGTACAAATGAGTCAAACTTCCCTTGTTTTTCATTTCTGTTTTCTTTTTGTATTCTAACCGAAAGCAAAATATTAAACTAAACAACATCTATAAATAAACAAGTAATCAATAAGAATGGGATAATTACACATATTCACAACTTAATGGATGTTGTACAAATAAATGTAGGATCAGTGATATCTTTATCTAAGCTGAAGTGGTATCGCCCCAAAAGAAATTGATACCATTAATTCATGATGCGCTGCTCACTTTTTTATGCAATTCAAACTTATAGGTCTATGAGCTTCATAAAAGCAACAGTACAATGCGTTTATTTTTTATACACTCTTAACTTATTCAATACTATCGACAGTTATCCAACGAGCTGACCTGATGCCTCAGGAAGCACAGTGTTTGTGTAGGATGTGTGCATAAAAACAGAATATTTAATCCTCATATGACGCATATATGCCTAAACAGACTGATCAATTGCAATCCTAAACATTAGCGGGGAAATCCAAACAAATTAAAATCTTCAAAGGATAAACAGTGCCTAACTTTCAGACCACTGAGTTGATGGTATACAGTGGTTTACTGTTTTAGCGTTAGTCAGTTCATGGTATTGGATAGCAATTATCCAGTACCACTGGTGATATTTGTCGTTTGTCTAACATATTCAAACTTCCATTCATCATAGGTAATGTCAGTTACATTTGTATGATTGTCTCATTGTTTCACAAGTTGATTGAATTTGGGATTGCGTCATTACGCGCCAAACCAGTTGTTGTAATTACTAACTGATCACTGTGAAATTGAGGTCCTGGATCCTAGCCATGACCGGGTCATGGACAAGCACCACTGAAGAGTCTCATATTGAGACAAAATAACTGATCAGTTCTCCCTGGTTTCCAGTTATACTTTAACTAAGATTAATCTGTGACGAACAAAATCTGGAAATTGAAGTAGTTTCTACAAAGCTTCTTTAACTAAAATATATACCCCTTAGTTCATTGTTTAATTAATCAGCACCTACTTTTTTAAAAATAAAGTATTTCATTGAAAAATATATGGTTATGCCTGAATAATCGTTAGGAGGCTAACCAGTAAGCTCAGCGAATTCAAGAGTCACATTACGGACTTGTCGTGAAAATATAGCACTTTGGACAGTGTTTTTTTAATAGTTGCCTTGGTGAACTTAATGTTTATATTCCTATAATACAGAAATTTCTTATTAAATAATCCAACCTTTGCTTTGTTCAGCATCTCTTCAGTTATTATTATTATTATTATTATTATTATTATTATTATTATTATTATTATTATTATTATTATTATTATTATTTAGTGCGTGAACGACGTCAACGACGTAGAGAACAAGCACGTTTAAGTGGTACACAGTTTTCTGGCGATATTGATGATTTAGAAAGTCAAGAAGCATTGAGTATTGATTATTCCTTTGATGGTATTCCTGATACAACTGATCATTCTGTTGAACATATAGGAATTGGACGAGTAAGTCCTTTTTCATTTTTCGAAATGTTTTATTGATTTTAGATATGTATATCTCTTATCATTTTACTAAGTGTTTTCTTTTCTACAAGCCTTTTAAAATCTGTGGTGTGATGAAGGTCATTCAACACAATGTATTACTTATTTGTCGATCCTTGTACTGAGTGGAAAAAAATGGGGTGCTAGTCTTTATATGATAACGCCCCGTACCATGAATAAAATCCGTATTGGACTTATATCTGTCGTTTTGTCATGACATTCTTGTTGAGGTCCTAGAGATGATACAACCTAGGTGCTTGGGATATTGACAGGCATGACCACGAATAGAAGTTAGTAGTGATCCTACTGTGGTTTTCTTTTAAAATCTTTGTTATATTAAGATAAACTCCCTTAATTAAAATAATTCTATTTCAGTTGTATTTGTAACTGAAGTGTATCTCATCATTTATTGTTATTGTTCATTTATTTACTAATTTCACTCTTCTTTTCTACTTCATTTATTCTCATTATTTATCACTTCTTTTATGTGACGCGTTTTTTTCATTTTTAGCTCCCTATTGCAGCAGAATCCATGTGCATTAAATCAATTAATAAATATGTCATTAAATGACCTCATCTAAATTAGCACAATAAAAGCTAAAAAGTATTACACGGAGTTAAGGTTATGCACAACTTTCTCAATATTCAATAATTTAGTTGTATTCAGGATCACTTTCGGCCATTTTTTCGTTCATTTAGTTAGTGAGTACTGTATACTTGAAAGTAATTTCACTCTAAGTGTCTGAAGTTGTCAATAGCTGTCTGTTCTGAACATCTCACTGGGATGCAGCCCAACATCCCGGCTGAAAAACACAAATGTAGTGAAAGTTAAGGCTTGAAATAAAATCCCTCATGAAAATCACACTGTACGACGCAGCAATTTCCCACTGCACAAGGAGAACAGATGACAAAATAATTAATACAGTATACATATAGAAAGCTGAAAGAGTGGTAGGTCACTGATACCTTTTATTGTTAAGGCTCATGTGATTATATCCAAGTAAAATGCATCAATCATAACGCATCATAAATAGAAAATTTCAACAGATTTAGCATATTTAGAACATTATTTCACAAAGTTGAAAAGAATACTTATTGATGTCAACGTTTCATAAAGATTGTTGAGTTTTAGGATTTTTACACCGAACCGACCTTAATTAGGCAGCCACTGAAAACCAAAAAGAAAAAAAACACTAGACTGTCGTTTCGTCCTTATTTATTATTTATTTATTTTAACATATAGATATTGGTACGAAAAGGCACTAAATACATATGCGCCACACAAATCTCACTTCATATGTGTAAGGGCAGTGCCCAAACCGACGCAGGTGGTTTTCTTAGGGGGCCACACCCGGAACCTTCGACCTGAAGGTTTGATCCACAAGGCAATGGAGCAATGTTAAGAGATGCAGTCCCATGGTAGCCGGTGACCAACAATTGGTTCGTACGCCATTTGTTCCTTTAGGATATTGGAACCCATGTGCACCATGGGTTTGAAGTCAGGGTTTTCCAACTCCCCTAGGTGGACTCTCCATGTCCACCAACCTGGTTAAAGCGCCGGACATTCGCTTTTCGTCCTCTCAATTTCGTAAACAACAGTAATGCCACGAGAAGGCGGTGAGTAGGACTTCCCTGGCAGAGGCTATATACGGGTGGCCATGTGAGAGCATTTCGAGAGGGGGAGCGAACTCTCCCCACTCTCGTCCAGGGCTCTTGGTCCAAGTAAAGGACCCCCGTGAAATCCGAACTAAAGATCTCACTGTGGATCGGGCTTTGGAAATTAAGGTCTCACAGCAAGCGCCTGCCTTATAAAATGCTGAACTATTTATAATTAACCTATGTTTGATTGATGCAAGGCTAACTACTTCACAACAGTGTATGAGTTCAATAATAGTTTACAATCTACCTGACTCGAAAATATTCACAAAAACTATATTATTTAACAAACATTTTGCCAAAATATATGCGGACGTATTTACCGAAGAATATTTAGGAAAATTTTCCTTATTTCCTCCCATTTATCTCGTCATCTTCTTACCATATGATGATATATTCAGCATTGTAAGCTTATTAACTCTGTTACTTTTTTCTATTATCAACGCGAAATAATCGAATTAATTATGTTAATCGTGAATATTTTACTTTAGTTATCCTCTTTTTTTTATTAAATACTTACTTTCAACTCTATTGATTAGCTGTCCGTTTAACATATACGTGCTTATGTATTTTGATTTTTATGTGAAAAATGTTTCGCCGTATTTTTTTGCTTTTCTTTGTGTGTTTTGTTCTTTCCCTTGATTAGTTATTTATACGTCAAATTATAATATATTGCTAAGAAATTGAGCCTCGTGCTGTTTTCAATTCGAATTAGGAAACTTATACTCTCTTTGATAATAATAAACATCATATCCCTTAGTAGTATGTTAGGATCACTGAGTGACCAATGCTCAGCTTAAACGTCGGGTGTCTAGGTAAAGATGTCATATCGGTTGATAAGTAATAAATCTTCATCGACTGAGGTTGTTGGAATATGTATTAAGTATGTCTAACCATCGTTTACTTCGATGCATTATGTTTGCTAGAGTAGGATTACGTTCTTTCGTCTCAAATCATCATATTGTATATGCCTAATGCTCCCAACCATCTATTATACTGTTACTACTTTAACTTTGCTGACATTTGTCTTTATAGTTTTATCTTACTGAGCTGATGTTTAAACAACACTATGGAAGCTTCCTCGATATTACGGCGTGCCTCGGAAGATAGTCAATATCATACGGAATTCCTATGATGGATTAAACTGCAAAATTGTGCATGGAGGACAATTGACTGACTCGTTCAAGGTAAAGACAGGTGTTAGGCAAGGTTGCTTACTCTCATCCTTTCATTGCTACTGGTGATCGACTGGATCATGAAGACGTCAACATCTGATGGGAAGCATGGGATACAGTGGACATCTAGGATGCAGCTGGACGATCTAGACTTCGCAGATGATCTGACCTTCCTATCGCAATCGACAACGACCAGTGTAGCAGCAGCCTCAGCAGTATGTCTCAATATACACAAAGGGACAAGCAAGATTCTCCGATACAACACAGCATGCAACAATCAAATCACACTAGACGGAGATTTGGAAGATGTAAAAACCTTTACATATTTGGGCAGCATCATGGATGAACATGGTGGGTCTGATGCAGATGTGAAAGCGCGGATCGGTAAAGCAAGAGCAGCATATTTACAATTGAAGAACATCTGGAACTAAAAACAACTATCAACCAACACACCAAAGTCAGAACTTTCAATACAAATATCAAGACAGTTCTACTGTATGGGGCGGAAACCTGGAGAACTACGAAAGCCATCATCCAGAAGATACAAGTGTTTATTAACAGTTGTCTACGCAAAATACTTCGGATCCATTGACAAGACACTATCAGCAATAGCCTACTATGGGAGAGAACAAACCAGATCCCAGCGGACGAAGAAATTAGGAAGAAGCGCTGGAAGTGGATAGGGCACACATTGAGGAAAGCACCCAACTGTGTCACAAGGCAAACCCTCACTTGCAATCCTCAAGGCTAAAGGAGAAGAGGAAGACCAAAGAACACATTACGGCGAGAAATGGAGACAGACATGAGAACAAATGAATACAGATTGGATAGAACTGGAAAGGAAGGCCCAGGACAGAGTGGGTTGGAGAATGCTGGTCGGCGGCCTATGCTCTATTAGGAGTAACAGGCGTAAGTAAGTAAGTAAGGACTGATGTTTATGTGGCAACTTGAACCTGTACACACATGTGCTAGGTTATACATTACTTCTAAGTGAATGTGAGCACCCAGGACCTTCAGGTCTCTCATTGTGCACTGAACGACATTAGTCTACTGAGTTGATATCCATTGTTGCCCATTTTAAACATCCATGATATAACACAATGACCACTGGATGGCACTGATAACAGCTGTTTCAGTTACGATATCACTGATCACTATTAGTTGTGACTTACTACTGGAACTTTTAAAGGTCATATAAAAATAATTCATTAGTGAGTGCACGATTATGGTTTTGTTCAAGAGCAATTTAATATATAGATGATGGATCGTCTTCACACCATTTGAGGTTGGAAATGTATATCACTGAGTGCCAACTTACTTGTCTAATAGTAACAAGCGCTCTCCTCGAGACTTGAAAATGTATATATGATCCTTAGTGATGTATTAAGGTGCATTACCGTATGATAAATATATTTGCAATGTTCCTTAGACATTCCGTAGTATCTCGACTAATAATAGGATGTGATAAATTTCACCTGTAGACCCATCTTTACAAAATCCCCCTAGCAAAAAGAATAAATAGATAACATTAGTCACCAAATAAAGTTTTCTTTTCTAAATATATTAGGATTTCACCATTGAATTCGAAGTAGGTGTTCATAGTACATTCTAGTAATCATTCCTTAATGATATTCACAAGGATTGTAGTCTCCATGTTGTTGTTCATATATTTATTGGACAGTCTCCCTGAGTGAGATGTTTGTAAACAATGATGTTATGCCTAAGGATATCATCGTTTATCCTTTAGTGTTTATGTGTTTGATTTTGTCGATGGGTCACAATATATTCTTAATACTATGCTTAACTAAGTGTTTGTGGAGTCGTTTTAAAATTGTTAATAACACTGCTACAGTATGATAAGGGGAATAGCATCCGGTTTGTGTACTTCGGTAGTCCGTATAACCTTGGTAAGTCGGTACTCATCGGCCTAATTGTGTCGTATAAAATTTGATGGAAGTACCTGTTGGTCTCTAAGATTTCTTAACGATCTGGTCAATTTGTTCTTTATCTTATTACTGACGTCACTGACCATTTAGTGTTCAGGCTTGGTGTTAATACTTCAATTTTTCTCTATTTAATTCACTACCGAGAAAATTAGTGATATGGACAGAGAAACAAAAGGCTTTGACAAAC